GACTGGTGACATTTTAAAAAAATCTTTTTTAAATTCATAAGAGTAGGATAGATTATAACTATGAGAGAAAGGGGAGTACTTCCGGTTGAAAGCGGTGTTTGCTGATTAAAAACGGCATTCGCTAGTTTAACGCTCTTGGTCAAACTGTTCTATTCGCAGGCGTTCGACTTCGCTAAGTAAAATATTATATTATATTCTATGGCTAATATTTCAATAAGCGACCGCCAGCATAATTTTATTCTGTTTTATTAATTATAAAGTAAATTATACATAATTTAATTAACTAATAAGTGATTTATTTCGAGTTATTATATTTCATCTGAATCCATTTTATTATATTTAATTACATTCATATACTTAATTATTTATTGCACCGTAGTTTACTCTAAGTCATACAATTTTAATTTTATTATATTTCATTATATCCATATATTTAATTATTTATTGCACCATAGTTTACTCGAAGTCATTGTAGCAAACTCGATGGCAGGATAAGTCAACTTGCCAGTATGAATAGAAGTATAAGTGGAATCAGCAAAAATATAGACACGATGCTAAAACTGAAAGAAGAAAAGATAATAGGAGAGGGCAAGTAACTGTAGAATCAGCAAATAAACACAGTATTCATGCCTATATGACCAACGATAGCAGCCACGTGTAGGTATAGGTGTAACAAACGACCGACGATCCCAGGAGTCGATCACAGTGACAGCGATAGTGAAGAAACAAATGTAGCTGAAGAAAAAAGAAGATAAGAGCAATACAGGTGCAAAAGCTACAACGGTAATCCGTAAGATTAAAACGCTTGAAGGACAAAATAATTTAGGAGTGGAAGATTTTATACGGGATATACGAAATGCGAGGCTACAATGCAACGATAAGTACATGCTATTGAAATTGATACTATTAGAAAAGGTAACTGGATAGGCAGAACGTTCGATCAGTTATTTGAAGGTATAGCTTCGAAGAATTATTCGGTGCACGTCGTACGCATGTGACATCACCAATAACGATACCAGCAGCCAGAGCGAAATTATCAGCTAAACAACAACACTTATCAACTATAAACTTATAAGCTGTACAATAAAAATATTAATGATTATAACATCCGCTTTAGAAGAGGACTCAAAGAACTCAAGTACGCAGCACAAAACAAGCACAAAATTGCAATAAACAGAAGAATAGTAATAGAAGAAGGAAACATAGATAAGCAAATTTATATTATCAACATTAAACCTGAAATTGAAACAATCCTGATGGCAAATGAACCAGCCACTGTGGAGAAATCGGAAGGAAAAACAATGAAGATGGAAGCCAAAGTTAAAAGTCAATATAGACCTATCCCAGAAGATGGAATGGCTAGCCAACCTTCAATCTCTGAATATAGACATGCAATATCCAAAAGCCATTTGATTTTAGGCAATGAAGGAGTAAAGCTTCATACTAACGTGAACCTCGCATCAGGTGAGGGCCACGTCAAGGAAGCCATGATAGAAAGCAAACAAACGATGGTATGTTTTATTAACAATAGTGAACACAAAATTCAAGACGATGTAATTAAAA